AAGGAGCTTCCCTAGTCAATTAGCACCCTTCTGACATCAAAATTGGTTATTTAGATGGTTAGCACGAGGTCATCGTTATGCGGGTAATGTACCCCTATTAAGTCCTACTCGAAAAAATGAATTTTTCCAGGCAACTCATCTATCTTCAATCTCTTATTCACCGGCTCGCGGCTTGCCCCCAATTGATAAACTTCTCGAGCCTAGGTAGCTAACTTAATATAGGCCCTAGCTGAGTTGTTCATCAACATATGCAGGGTTAATGTGTGTATCACATCGATGATTCCTGCGGGGGTAGGTCGATCATGGAGAAGGTCGGCAATATCGGTGTTATTTTTTCCCCCATTTTCGATGAACTACGAGAGGTGTCCCGCCTAGACCAATTCCTCCAAATATTGCTTTAGAGAATGGCAATTCTCCATCATGCGCCCTATGTTCTGATGGTAGGAGCATTTGAAATTTGGGTTCTTCTTGGCTGGATCTCCTCCCAACTTTTTTGGCCATTTGAAATATGATTTTCCCTTGATTTGGGATAGAATCCTATAAATCGATTCTTTGAACACTGTACTGACTCCCATGTACGGGGATTTTGAGGGGAATCCTTCTTTCTCCTTGTTTTTTCCTCTTTCCCGAGTTGGGTGACCCCGACTTATCTTTGTTGAACTGTTTATTGTTGAGCTGTTATTTTCCCCGTATCCCTACCAAGGTCATCATCCACCTTGGCATATTTCTCAACTCTTGTCATCAGCTCCTTCATGCCCAGTGCTGGTCTTCTTGTCAATGATTGGTACAACGAGTTCTCCTTTGGTAGTCCAATTTTAAAGGATGCAACCGCTATTTCGGGATTGCACGTCTCCACCTCATTCATTGTCTCCTAATACTTGTGTGCATACTTTCGCAATGTCTCCCCATTCTTCTTTCTTAGTATCAGTAGTGCCCCCACATCCTTAGGTTGTCCACTACTTGTAATAAACTGAGTTGTGAATTGCTCGGCCAGTTGACCCTAACTATCCACTAAGTCCATTGTGAGTCCATCAAACCATTTCATGGCTGATTCCCCGAGACTGTTGGGGAATATAGTGCAGAGTAGAGGCTAATTCTTCCTATGCACCATCATCAATTATCTGTAATGACAAATGTGAACGGTGGGATCCGTCTTTCCGTAGTAGAGTTTGAAGCTTGGAACAACGAACTTGCTTGAGATCCATGCTCGATCTATCCATTTGGTGAACGGGGAAACCTTTGTCCCGCCGACGTATCCTACAGTTGCTCTTCGTGCAAGGTCCCTTGTTGACTTGTGCTCCAGTCGCTTTAATCGACTGTCAAGTTCATTTGTGATAAATCGCTTCCACTCTTCCTCCTGAGTGTCTGACTAGAGTGTCCTTTTATGGTAGCCAGTTCTTTGTGAATCTTCTTCTCTCTTTTCCCATGGGTCTAACATTCTGTGTAGCTGCCTACGGGTGCGGCGATCTTCATGATCCGAATCCTCTCTTTCACTGGTTTCCCTCAGTTTTTGTTTTAGTTCCTCATTTTCTCATTTCAATGTCTTTTCTCTTGCATATGCTTTCTTGAACATTTCGTCGTATGCATCTAAGCGATCTCACAATGACTGAACCAACCTTGTGAGGGCATGGTTGTCCCCCTCGGTACAGAGAGATCCTACCTGCGAGTCCTCATGCCGATTTTCACCATCTTCTAGGTTAAAACTGGCAGAAGAGATCCTATCCTCCTCCTGTTCACCCTGACTATCATAGAGATCCACCCGGATATCACGTCCGGATGGAAACGATACTTGATAGTTCAGATCTGAGTCCTCTTGTTGTACATCGAGTCCAATGGTAACCCAAGCATACTTTTCAATCTTGACATGACTTTTTGTTTACTCTTCCCATAGGCGGCACCAAATGTAAGCGGACAAATTTCCTCCTATCCTTTGTGAACAGTGTTGTCCTTCCCTGAGTGAAGTTTCTTGCAAAACGAGCAAACTATCTAAGATCGAAATGTTTCGATCGAAGGCACTCTGATGCTTAAGTCAGTAGATGTCGATTCAAAAGAACTGTGTTATGGAAGGATTTTTCATACCTTGCACCGAGGATCCTTGCTGACTTATATAAACTTTAGTGATTCCCTTCTCGGGGGAAAAAGATGGCACCTCCTCCTCCCAGCAGAATTATCTGTTGGCTCTTCCTAAAATCTCTGTAACTCTCCCTTGATCTCAGCTTATGAGCTGTTGAATCCTCCTAGCTGGTATAATTGAATCCCTTACTCTTAGGCAGTTATTGCGTTGTTCAATTCTTATCTCCATGTGGCCAGATCCTCTTGCTCGGTCATATTACCGATCTAATATAGTTCGGTTCGTTTTTAGCAAATCCAAAACCCCACGTGGCTTCTTCTTTTCCCACGTGATAGTTTATCCATGTGGCATAAGTTTATGCCCCTTCAGATAATTTATAAATATTGATTGTGATGGTGCTCGAAATTATTATGTCCAAGTGCAGAACAATGACTATGTGAGGCCCAGTGGGGGACTTTGTGGACGTTGGGTCAATAGAAAAATAAGCGTTGGTGCTAAATCAAAGAACAAAATATATGTGATTCACCTCAGCCGAAAAACTAAGGCTACATTTATTATAATGGAGACTCTTGCTCCTTGGAATTTGTATTGCTTGAAGTAGAACACAATGGTTACAGTGGGTTTCTTGGCCTAGAGCCTTTTCACACTATGCACTCCAAGTAAAATTCTCCAACTCTCTTGTACAACGATTTCGTCTTCTATTTATGCATGTGGTCATCTAGGGTTTTTTGTGATTCTCCTTCTCTTGACTAATTTTGTAGTCCCCTCTTCATTTGTCCTGTAACGGGGTTTGTTACTCTGACGCACGTTGTGGGCACAATCCTCAAAACGGAATGCATACAAATATTCTCTTTATCAGGGAGTATTTGTTCGTTAGGGTTGTCAGAAGTTATCCCTTGTCCCTTGAACACGTGACGCGATGGGAGTTGTTTGAGATTTATCTCGTACCGAGCTCCTAGTTCCCGAGCTGGCCCACTTTGCCGTACTTGAGATGACCGAACAGGATTATTCCGAGCTAGGCATCATTAGACTTCCAGCCTTGGGTTATGGCCCACTATTATGACAGAATAAGCACGTTGTGAATGGGCCAATTAGGTTGCCATGTAACTAGAGTGGCCATTGAGTGTTTTTAGCTTCGTATGGACAACCCAAGTTGAAATTCATCATTATCAGATTGAAAAAATAATAAAACATTGTAAAATAAGAAAAATTGTAAATAGAATAGTTTCATCCAATTCATTCGCCGTTCTGATCAAAAAAAAAATCATTTGCCGTTAAATCATTCATCATAAATTCAAACAAAATATCATATGTAAGTATATTTTCGTCCGAATATTTTGGCAATAGTCTAGTATTTAGAAGTTATGCCTTGAAACCTTGTTCATTCCACGAACAATCTCTAACCCTTGTCCACCTCCAATTTATAGCTATACCAACAATCTTATTTTTCGGTTTTTAAACAAACATTACTTAAAACACATATTTATTGTGAAATAAATAAAATATAAAGAGAACAAAACATAAAAAAATATATATAAAAACAATTTTTTAAAGAATATATTAATGTGTTAATCTTCAATATCACCTTTTTCTTTTTTCCTTTTTTTCGTTCAAAGTGCGGAGACCCTTTTATAGGTAGAAATGCAATCTCTTGAAAGAGTGTCGAAAGGGGTCAGGGAACAAAAACATTAAAGGTGATGTGTATGTGGTCATGCACCAAACATGACATTTTTATAACAGTAATAATATAATCATATGGAATATTTAATTTTCTTTTTGAAATAGGAAGTGTATTCTAAATTAACTCACTTTACCGTTGTTTTGAAATTTTTTTACCCAAATATCGTAATTTTAAACTTATTTATCAAACTATTATTATTATTTTTTTTTTTTTTTGAAAACATGCTTTTCAACAAAAAAAACCTTTTAAAAGTGTATTTTCAAAACATGTTTTTGCATTGAAATTTGAAAAGCAAATTTTGAAAACTCAGCTTAAGCTCTCTTGACCATATCTTCTTGTCAAAAATATACTTAAGCGCATAAAAGTCCATCGTACTATGAGATATCTTCCAGTGATAGATACAAAATCACGAATGCTTCTGGTCTTCAGCAATTAGGACAATTGTCCGAGAAGATAGGCTCGATAATCCTATCTTCTTTATAAAACAGTGACAATTTATTAAATTAGTTTCAAACTAATAAAAGAGTTGTAAAACAACATTAGAGTGATAATTACAGAGGATAACCATTTTATCAGTTAATTGTCCACAAACACACTACATTTCAACTTACATTTTACTGCCATTTCGATCCTCTCAGTTTCAAATTTTGTCAATTTCAATCAAGTTCAATCACCCCCGTCTAATATAATGATCCCCCAGGTGGTTCTCTATGAATACCATTGATATTTACCCATTCCCAACCAAGAATCAAAATTTTGTTTCGGTGCATAATTTCAATAAGGTTGAAAAAACAAAAAATTTCGATAATGTTTCGGAAACATTTCAGAAACAAAATGAAAACAAAGAAAAATTTAAAAATTTATTTCCAAAACATTCATCAAAACATACCGAAACAAAAGTCGAAACACCTCAAAACTTACCAAAACAAATCGAACATAGGAATTTTGATATTCAATCATTCAATTTTCATGAAAACAAAAACGTTTCGAACGTTTCAAAACAAAATTTACTTCCTTGTCACCAACAAAATTTATTCCAGTAAAATGACTGAACTTGACCAAAATTGAAAAACTCCCATTTTTCCTGCAAATTCGTATGAAATTTGAGGAAATTTTCACATATTTAAGCAATGAGGGGAGTCCGAAATATAAAAATGCTGGCATTAGAACTCCTGAGATAGCAGGTCTCAGATAATGTTCCAGGAAACTAAACACACACGAGCAAGGTAATTTAATGTCACTTCCTTGTTACAGCACATCAGACTGAGGCTTCCGAGCCAAGAAGAAATACAGTGGCGTGAAGATCTCTTTCCTGCAAAACCCAGGTGTTTAAGGTAAATATTAGTCAAAACAACTCTATAGATACCCCATCATTAAACAGGAAGAAAATAATTCAAGGAAGCTATAAAAGCACAGTTTTCCGTCTTCTGTCGATCAATATTGGTACTAGAGACCACAAAATCTATTGCATGCATATAGAGGTTATTCTTTACTAGCTTTTTTCTTATTTAAGAGGGAGGATGGAAAATTCAAACATGTGACTCGGCTTGAATAGAGTTTTGTCTACAAATAATTCCAGATTTATTTCTAGTAACGCATAATCGAAAGATGAACCATACAACACACTCCATTTCTCTCTGGTGACTTTTTGAATATATACATTTACAGCATTTCATTGTTAGTTGAGCTCTCTTTCAGCTCGAATGCTCGCAAGCTTCTGTCTGAGAATTTAAGCAAGAATCTAAGGTTGGTAGACGAGCTCAGCCAGTCCCAAGCAAGCAGAATCTAAATATACTTAAAACTCGATAAGCTCGGTCAATTAACACCCCATCTAAAGACACCAAAATCATAACGGTATTTGCATGTGCATAGATGTTGGGATTAAGTAAATTGTATCCCGCAACATAACTGCTGTGGCATGAGAAGAAAAATCTGATCCCTCTGCTTTTCTTACTTGTGGTTTTTTTTTTTTTTGAGCTCCTCTGTTCCTCTGCTATCTGATGGAACCATTTACTACGCATCCCTTTTCTCAGTCTACCAAAGAACCACATCAGAGAGTAGAAATTATTTGCTGCTATACTGGCTAAAGCTTACGCTGATTCTTGCTATCATATACTAAAATATTAATACATATTAAAAGAGCTCTCATCCAATCTAATTATTGAAGGCCTTTTTTTATGGTTAAGAGGCTCAAAATAAACGACGAGAAAGTTGAGTGGAGAAAGTTCTTACTTTCCACCGGCAACAAGCCCTTCTGCTGCTTGCTCTAAGAATAACTGCACCCTCTGACTTCCCTTGGGCGCAAGGCCGACGTATTCTAGGGCCATGACCTACAACGACAGAAATCAAAGAACTAATGTACTCTAACATCTAATCACAGAACAAATTAACATCGACAATAGACATATCCAACCAAAAAGGAGGTGTTTTCCTTGTCTCCTCCATTTTTGGTTGAGAAACATACAAGAAAACTCTCGCATATGCGTTCAGAGCTTACCATATTTTTGGTAATAAAACGTCCCATTGCAGTTAGACGGAAACTACTGAGCGAAAAGTGACTTTTATCCAAAGGCAAATACCAAGGGACGGGTGAGCCCACCGCAAGATCTTTCTCCCGTATAACCTTCGCAGACAAAAATAACCTGTCATTTATTTCATACTGGCGGTTCACTTGAAATTAAAAAGAAGAAACCACAAATTGTAACTCACTTCAAAACCTGCCATCTTCAGAGCTTCGAGGCACTGCCTTGTCAACCTGATGTCAGGGAGACCATCACCAATCTCAATTTCTCCCTGTTTCCATGAAATTGTGTGATAAAAGAAGGATCCACGAATACAAACATAATTAATAAAAAAGAAAAACTAAGTTGTCAGTACTACCTTAATCTTTTGGTGTTCTTGGTTATTGGGGTCAAAGGAATCAGTCATACACCACTCATATGCAGCAAAACATTGACCAGGCTTCAATACCCGAAATATCTCTTTGTAGCATCCAACCTTTAAAACAAAAATGTAAGTTACGCCAGACTAATTTAAATGAAACTGCAGAAAAATCAACAGACAAAGTCATAATATCATTCCAAAATAGAAACGTATCAAAAGCTTTCAAGTCAAGATTGAGCATCTAAAATCTACATACTGCATCAGGAGCATGGCAGGTAGCTTCGATTGCATAAACCGCATCAAAGGTATTGTCAGGAAATGGCATTTTCATGAAATCAGCCTGCATATAATCCCCAAATTATAGTCAAAACACCAGATAGAAAAGCGGTTCAGAACAGAACATAAATTTAAGATAGAAAACTAATTACCTTCACGAAGTTGCAGGTCTGGTCCACTCCAACAATGCTGTTAAGTGCCTGTAGAGTTAAAGGAGCAATTAAACTGTAATGCCCATAGAACATAGGACATTTACATTTACCACATACAAGAGAATACAGATTTTACGAATTGATTTGATTTCTAGTTCAAAGTAAGTTACAAGGTTGAAGTAGTTCGCCTTGTGCAAGAAGAATCTGAAGTGAATACTGCACAATCTCTAGGATAGAATCCTCATCCAAAAGATGAAAACATTTTGATTATATGCAGCAAGAGCTGTTGCAGACATTTCATTTGTTTATCACATAAGACATAAGCATGTACCTTTCCCCTAGATATTTGATACTCATTGTTGTTTAGGCCTGTCACTGATGTAGAGCTGCAAGTTACCAATATACAAATTAGTCTCAGCCAACTCTTGAAAATAAAAGAATAAATGAACCAAGAGAATTTCTTGAAACCTTTCAACATAGACTGGAAATCAAAAGAAAAGTTAAAGGCACTCATGCAGGCACTGCCATCCCGCCAGAGATAATGTTTACGAATTATTGCAGTATCAGAGCAATGAAAAGATCACTTAAATATCCTTGTTTATTATGGTCACAAAGCAAAAACAATCCATAAGTTCCACTGCTGGTACTCCTGCCCATGCAGCACTTGTTATTCATCTATCACTACTATTACAAAGAGAAACAGATGCTTACAACCGAAGAAACACAGAAACAAAGAGCCAACAACATATCCAGGCAGAATATAGAGTGAAATTATGAATCACCATTTACCTGAATCTAGCAATTTCCCTTAATGGTCCACCAATTCCACATCCTACATCCAACACCTACAATGACAACGTTTAAGTGTTACAGGACAATATGGAACAACAAACTCACAAACAATGAATGACTGAGTCTTTTCAACGACGATGTTTAAATTACAGTCAATTGAAGGATTAAGACCTTCTGCTTCGGTTTTAGGCCTAGTTGTAGAGCAAGGAAGTGCTCATGTCGCTTAATGCTCTCCCGAAGAGACTCTCCTTTCCATCTGCAGGCACAAATATAATGCTCATGATTAGTAATTTATTAGAAAAAGTTACTGCATATGACATAGTTGGCAAAAATAACTTTGAAGAGGACAATAGTAACCTGGGCGCAAAATGGAATGATTCTCCCCAGCCATATTCATAGAAGCTGGTAACAAGATCATAGTATTTATTCACCTGGAAACCACATGTACCAATTTCTAAAGATTATATGATCTTAATGAGAAATTCAAGAAATTTTACAACCAGATAGAAAAGCATTAAAACACTTGCAAATATATAGACAGAGCACCGGATGATATGGGGGCTATAGTAGTCATGCTTCAGCAATAACATCGTTAATGAACATGACCACCTCAAAAGTGTGAAGTTGAAAATCTTCTCAGTCTAAAAGTTCAATTAAAACCCAACATTCATGGAACTGCTGCCTTTTTACCCAAAGGCAAAGCATAATATATCGACTCATTATAAGTCCAGCGTAATCTAAAATATGTGCTAAAAATGAAATAACTAATTTAAATGGCACGGTGATCTTGCGCTTCTTTGTCCTGAAATCACAACATAGTTTGCGTAAGAAGTTGTTTCTCCAGGAAAAGAAAGAGAGGGGGGGGCGGCAATGCCACTTGCAGCTATTTTCTTAAACTTGACTGTATTTAGCTTCTATTATAGAGATAGGCCCAACAAATAAAGAAATACTACTATCCTAGAGTTCTTATATATCTGTCATGGATCTGTAGAATAGAGAAAACGACCAAAGATAGCAATGGCAAATATGCTGACTGAATGTTATATACTGACGCACATGTGAATGTTAGAGAAAAATAAAGCTGAATGACATAATGTCGTAAACTTAGTGAACACAAAAAATCATGTGCATTGTATCTATCTTTAAATTTGTGAGAGTAATTTCAAGTTGAAAATTAAACTTAGTTTGAGTAAATATACAGCGGCAGGTATAAGAAATAAGTCAGTTCTGTAAAAAATGTTAAAGAAGTCCTCTTACCATGTCCGTGTAGTTGGCTTTTCTCTCTTCCTCGTCACCTCCATAACAGACATGATACTTCTCATACCTAAATTGTTAGACCAAGGGTTTATGACTAATGGAAGTGTATCAAAAAAGAGCTAAAGAAGGAGAAATCAGATCAAGACCCGACAAAAATCCCAGAAGATTTTCAATGCACATAGATCCTAACGAATGGTTAACCAATTTTGAATATTGATATATTGTAATGTCTAAAAAACTCAATTACTTCGTTGTTGGACAGACTCATCATCGATATCAAAATCTGATATGTTTTTGAGAGAGAATGAAAGAAAAAAAGGTTGAGATATGATTCTATAGAGAAAGAGAGGGATATTTGAATCTCCTCCTAGAGAAAAAGAGAGAGATTAGAAATCACTTTCCTTTAAACGAAAGTCGCTTACAAAGAGAGATATAGAGAATAAAACAAAATTTCAGAGAGAGAATTTACTTATCCACGGCGGAGAGAACATCGTCTTTCTCAATCTTTCCACCAAGACCAGATGCGAGATCCAAAGCTCCAGCTTTCGACATCTCCAGCAATTCCCAATCCTCCAAAAAAAACACCACTTCGAGATCTGAAAACGTCACAAAAACCAAAACACAGAAAATAATAATTCAAACCTAGAAGCCAAAGAGCTCAGTCCAACGACAAAAATCAAGGCAGATCAAACCACATCGACGCAATGTAATTTGTGGCATAGGGAGAACATACAGAGAAAGTAGGATCTGGAAAACCCTAAGAAGAAAGGAATGGAACAGAGACCAGAGACAAAAGGAGGTAAATAATATCCTGTAAAATGTATATAATTTTGAATTTCGAAGTTGACGACCTGAGGCTGGATGGCTAGAGAGAGAGAGAGAGGAGAGACAGTGAAGACACTGAAGAGTCGGGTGTCTTTTTCTTCCACGACGACAACAAATCCACAGAGAGATTCCAACTTTCTTAGTGCTCGCCACGTAAGCAAGTGCAAGTGCAAGTGCAAGTGCATCGACACGAGGGAACCGATCGCAAGTGTGTCGCGTGACAGCATGTTAAAAAGATATAGATGAATTTAAAAATTAGATTTAATAATCTCAACCATCGAATAGATAATAGGTCCTAATAAATGCTGGGATCCATAATGAAAATCAATGATTAAGATTATTAAATTTAATTTTTAAGTCTATTTTTTAAATCCACGTAACATTACTATAAAAAGATATAAACAAGTTTTCGAGCTTTTGACCATAACCATTTAGCTCACAGATTTTATTCTTATCTTTTAAACTTATTTTTTAAATTCAATCTTTTTTTAAAAATATCATTTTGAATGATATTTTCATGGCTTGAATTGTCATTTGAAAAAAGACATTTTTAAACTATATAAAAATGTAAAGTAAAAGAACTTTTTAAAATCGTCATTTGAAATGACAATTTTTTAGTGATGAAGAGATAAACAATTTCCTAACGAAGTTAGAGCATAAACCTTTAGTGTAGGCATAAACCTTTACTGAAAGCATAAAACGTCATTTTGAATGACGATTTTCAAGTCGTCATTTAAAATGACGATGTATGTGAATTAAAATCAAATTTACCCTTTCCCAAATAAGAAAAACCCTAACTCTCTCCCAAATTCGAAATCAAACCTCTTTGTCCCTCTCCAGTCATCAACCCTCTCCAGTCCTCCAACGAGGGCCACTCCTTCGACGAAGACCAGTCCAACACAAGCAGTTAACTCCGACGAAGACAAACTCCGGCGAAGACTTCTTTCTTCGACGAATAGCATCCCAACAAAGGATTTCGCAAAAAGGAAGACCATCACAATGTTCCCCTTCTCCAATGAATTTTGACTTCTATCTCTATCGACGAGTTCTGACTACAACTCCAATGAGTTCTGTACACAACTCCCTCTCCTCCGATGAGTTCTGTCCCAGTGTCCCTATCCTCCAACTAAGGGATTTTTGTTCTCTCTCTCTCTCTATCTCTATCTCTCCCTCTCCATTTCTTCTAATTGCAATTTTCCTCCACACTCCAACAGAACTTGCATTAAACTTTTTTTTAAAAATTTTTTTGCCTAGAGTTGAGTTTTGAAAGTTAGTGTGGGTGAAATAAAAGCTTGGAAGAATACCCTTTCTTTGTGCCTGAGTCATAATACATGAGATTGACAAACTGTGAGGACCTAATGGTGATAGGTTACATATAAGTTGTAACTTGTAACAACCTTTTCTCATATTTTAGTATGTAATTTAGGAATATTTCCCCTCAGATCACCTGAATGTATGAACCACAACACCAACCTCCAGCTGCAGTTTCCCATTTTGCATTATCAAATTTTTAAGATCCATTTACCTTGGAATTTCTAAGATTGCTATTTCTACTTAAAGCCAATTGCCAGCTAGAAAGGTCAAATAAGGCCTAGGCACCCTAAAATACTTCCCTTTTAAAAGTCTATTATACACTCTTGGAATTTCTAAGATCTACGGAAAACCAAATTGGTTGTCCTAAATAATAACAGTTATTTCTAGTTGACACTTGTTGTCAAATAATAAGGTTTATAATTGGATCAAATTAATAACTATACATCCACACAAACAAAGTAAGCAATAATGAGAAGTGATAATGCCCTATTTTTGAATTTTCCCCTTTGACCAGTATCAAGGTCAAAATCAAAGGTTTTTAATTGTGTTCACATAAACAACCTAACTTATATTTACCAATATGGCCCATAATCTAAAATGGCTGATTTGGACACAAGTATCCAAGTCACACCTAGACATGGAACTAAAACCATTTACAACAATTAGGAATGGATAGATTAAAATTTGACCCAAACCCAACTCATCGACACCCCTAGTCATCGCACACATTCCCTCCTACCCTTTCTGGACAGTCTCTCGTATCAGGCCCATTGTTAAATAAGGAGGGAGTGACATAAGATGCTACAGTTGTAGGCGTAGGCTGTGTGCGAGCCGGATAGCGGGTTAGAGGTGGACGATAGTGTCGGGGATGGGGGGCGAGGTCGTGCATAGCATGCACATCATCACGATGACGTTGATGTGTCATAGGTGACACAAACTGCACCACAGGAGGTTCACAGACAAACGAAGCAACGTAGGTGACCACCTGCGTGTGAGACATGATTTTGATGTTTTTGTTGGCTTTTTTTTTCCTAAAATGTACAAATTTTTTCTTTTATAAATACATTGTCACATACACAATCATGTTTTTTTATTGCTTTCTTCAATCAAGTTGACACATACATAATCAATATTGTATACAACACATTTAACTCACTTCAACATTACACATACATTTCACTTCACATGTAAATCCCAACACAACAATAACATGATCTGGAGACAATAAAACTAACATACAACTTATTCACACAAGTAACATAACATTTCTACACACAAACACTAACATAACATTTGTTTCTACAACACTAGCATAACACCTCTCCACACAACACAACACTAACTTAAGACTTGTCCACATAATACTAACATGACAGTTCACCACACACCACTAACATCATAATTCTCCACACAATATTAACATAACATGTGTCCACACAACACTGACAACATTTATCCACACGACATGTTTCATGGGTCAACATCTTCGTCGAACATCTCAACATCAAAAATACATCCAACTTCACCACTTAGGAAGAAAACTTATACGTGCTTCTTCCATTAACCCTTCTTCAGCATGTTCTCGTGCGATGCGACGGAGGTTGTAACGATTTAGACGGATTGTCATGTGATTGTTCTCAGTTCGAAAATGATACAATATTCGCTCCAGTTGTTGAGGTGTTTCAACTAGCATATGAATGATAATTTGTTGAGGCCTTCGTAAATCGCAAGTTTGCATATCTCTAATAAGATTTTCTTGCTTTGTTAAACGATATTGTAATTCAGCCTTGATGGTTCTTATGGCCCTGCTTGAATAACATAAATGAAGATTCATTGGATAGAACAACTCATCCTCTAAAGCCCAATGATAACCCATATTTTCATATGAAGCTCTTACATTATAATTCATGTTGAAAATGAGTTTTCTTCACTTAGTTGCTTATAGACGATGAATATATAGTACTTAAAAATCAAAGTTTTGATGGGCATATCAATTCACTGAAAAAGGACTGTCATGACTTTGACAATACACTAATTATTTTTCTATTATCCATAAATTGACAACCCACTTAATCAATGAATTTGCTGATGAAATGACAAAAACCTGCAAAATGTTGATCAACCATGTGTTGTATTGAATACACACATCTCCCAACAACTGAGCATATCAATACAAACACTGTGTTGAAGTGACAAGTAACTACTCTTTTCATAATGCTGAAGAAGAAAAAGTGACTAATTAATGTCATGTGTTGAGGTGTCTAAACCCTGAATTGGTTTCAGCATATAATGTACTAAAGTGACTAAACTCTAAATGAGTTTCAACATATCATGTGCTGAACTGACTTAACCCTGAATGAGTTTCTGCATACCATGTGTTGAAGTGACAACACATATTTGATGAAGGCAAAGACTAAAATGATCGTACACTAGTCTGATGTATGATTAAACCCTAAATAACCTATAATAACTACACTGTTTTACTATTGATTGATGTGACCTATCTATCACATTAGGATTTGGACACTACTATTTAAACACCTTATTTTGTGGTTGAAATGACAAACACAACATTGTGTCTACATCAAATTTCTCTACGAGATTTAACAAACGCAGACATGAACAGGTTTGGTTGTTACAAGAGCGAAACGATGATTACAAGAATGAAAGATTTTTCGATCCAAAAAAGTATTATGCAGGAGTACGATGAGAGCGAACTTTTCGTGCTAAAGAATCAGACGAACTATTCACATAACTAAGAGAACTTGAAATACTAGTGTCTCGTAGACGATTACTAACAATGCAGCGCCGAAATAGAGAGGACTACGAATCAGCAGTAAAACAAGTTCAAAGAGAGAATAATAGAATGCTAATTTATAGGTCTTGTTATTATATGCTCCAACAAGTAAAAGACATGATGAAAACTGCACATGGACGAGAGTTGACACCAGTTAAGTAAAACAATATATTGTCTAATGCACAATACCTGTCAGATGATTATATATCTAATAAAGCTTAACAAAGTTTGAAATTATTCATTTGTGAGATAGAAAACCTGTGTAACTAGTGTAGTGTCAAGTCATATCAGCCATTTGTATTTGAATTGTTATGTCATTACTTTATCATTGTAAAGTCATTTTATTATTTTATCAGTGTAGTCAGTCTAGTGTCAACTCATGTCAGTCCTTTTGTCATTCACGAGTTATGTCATTATTGTATCAATGTGAAGTCATATCATTACTTTATTTGTATCAAGTCATGTTAGTCATACCCAGTAATTGTTCTGTTAAATTTATATATAATTACATTTCGTATATATATAAATCATCATTATTAATTGTGTACATCATAACCCAAAAAATGTCTAGACGCACATCAAATAGGCAATCTAATCAAATCACCCAATGTTCTTCATCACGCAATGAACAACAAAGTTCATCTTCAACCAACGAACGTGAACACTATATTGGCCGAGCAGCATCATCGAACATAGTTCGTTCAATTGAATCCTACACAGATTCTACATGTGTAACTTTGTATGGACAAAAACGTGAGTTCTGTAATGAGTTCATCGACCATTATCACTCATTCGATCAAGTTGGACACGTATTTGTTGGGCCAACGACCGACTATCTGCCTCCGAGTGATTGTATTGAACCCACGTCAAGATAGCGACAGTTATGTGACAAACGTTGTAAGCTTGAAATATACTATTGTTGACATGGCAAGACTTGAATGCGAAAATGATCAGATGAAACGTAGACTTGATCGTTTGCATGCAATCGAGCATGCAAAAATTGAGCATTTCGTTCTTGATTATGCTGAGATTCAAATTTTACAAGATCCGTTACTTGTTTCGGATACTGAACTTTCTGATTATTCCGATTTAAGTGACGTTTTAAAAAAAAAAAGACTAGGTTTGAGAATTAAATTTAAAACTGACTGGGTTTGAGAATAAAATTTTAGGGAAGACTAGGTTTCGTCAAAACCTCACAAGTTTCCTCTATATGATTAAGGGCTCTTTTGCATTTTTATATACTAAAAAAATTTAAAAATTAATTTTTTTATACTGTACATTAAAAGTGTTGATATGTTATCTTTCGTTATTTTTTCGTTAAAATTCAATACATTGACACTGATAGAAAAATTAACAGAAGAGTCACATTGCAACAATCTTAATAAATTGATAGGGCAATATTGAAAATTTAATCTTTAAAAATACAAATAAAAATCTTAAAATATGTTAAGGGTATAAAGAGTAATTTATCCTATGACTAATAAAGACAACAATGTTTCTTGTCCTCTAGTTTCATTAATAATTATTAGTGGTTAATTTAAGTGTAGAAAAATGTTATGATACTAAAAATATACATTTTTTGTATGGCCATGTATACGTTTTTTCGATTGTTTGCATAATTTTTGGATAACTTTTGGGAATTTTGCTATTGATTCAAAAATTTTATAATCAATCTCAATTTTTTAGGATGGATCCTAACATCTTACATTTGTTAAAATAATATATCACAAAACTTTCAAAAAGTTATGACTTGACACGGTGTCGGCCCAACCATTAGGCCACTTAGGCCATTGACTGGAGCCCCCAAATTGGAAGAAAAATGTAGAGGCCCATAATAAAATAAACAATGATAAATAATTAAAATTTTAGAATATAATTTAAATA